AGGAGTGAGATGTTGGAATGTATTATTTTCATTCTTTGCTAGAAGTCAAGATCATCCTTTGTCTCCGCACTTTCACACCTGACCGGAAGAAGCTGGGCATAGACACCAGCGTGGAAGAAGAAGATTGGACCATGTGATGGGTTGTGGGTGTGGGGACAAGATCATGAACTTTTAACTGGGTGGAATTCTAATGTCATTTCCAGTATTGGGATTAACACAGATGTGCCTAAGATGTCTGTCTTATTAAATTGGAACGAAAAGGATCATTTTGTCTTGGACTCTGATTTAATTCTGCACGATACTTGGAACGCTGACAGAAAGCTTCAGAAATTTCCCTTCTTGTCTTACACGTAGGTCCATTCATAATCTGTCTCTGTTGCTCTGTAGTTCTCAGTAAACATTTCTTTGGATATTCACCTATTTTCTCTATCTATAAGAAAGATCTTATTTCCTTATAGAAATTGGAATACTATTGTCTATTTGCACATTGTCCATTAATACAATATCCCCCTGTAGAACTTCAGTATCATTTTCTTTTCATTACATTTGGTAGCCACTACCCTGGTTTGTTTGCAAATTCCTTATTTTCTTTGAATTCACTTTTATTTCCATTTCTCTTACCAATAGCATAGATAATAATCACTGTAAAACTTAATGTGTTGAGCAATACTTATTTTCTCTGGATATTTCTTTAATTCTCCTTTTTTCTTTACTTCATCCATGAAAAGAGGCATCCAAAACAGCTTGTGTGTTTTCTTAACTCATCATTTTAAATTCACAATTATTTTGTATTAAATAACTTCCAATAAAAGCTTTACTTGAACCCCAAACCATTTTTACCTTTACTTTAAAAAAAAAACATTTTTACAATTCTCCTCCATTGCTTCTTTCTATAGCAACCTTTCATTCAATCTCCAACTAAAAAACTTAGATTTTCTTTTATAAAACAAATTCATAATATTAAGATTCAAAAAGTCTTTGATAATATCTCTGATTTAGAAACATTAGTAGCCAAAATTCTTTGAAATTCAGATCATGTCAAAATCGTCAAGAATCTGTCTTTCAGAAAACTAGGGATACTCTCCCGAATTATCATTTTTCTGTCTCTATATATCAGCCAGTCTTAAAGTGTCCATCAAATCAAAGAAAACTTTGGGTAATTTGCCTTGAGTAAGTTTAATATTTTTCTCTTTTAATTGCAGATTTAACGACAAAACAACATCTTTTTTCTTTTTTTCTCTAGCTCCTGCTGAAATAAATACTAAAATAAACCACATTTTTTATCAAGTACTTTGTCATTCTTCCAATATGTATCTATTGTAAGAAAAGTATATCTTATTTTGATTTTTTCAAAATAATGAAAAATCTTGCGTCTCTTTGGACGAGCGTATGTTACATTTATATTCTACATCAAGCATTTGTAATCCAAAAGGAAACAAAAACTTAGGGGAAAACATTATTCCTGTAGCACATATCTATCAGCCCAAGCAACCAGGAAGAGTGATGACCAGTGAATACTCAAGTAACTATTTTATTGCTGATCCCTTATATTACAGTAATCTTGCTAGGCTGTCTTCTCTTGCAAAATGGCAGATTAGACCTAAAGATTTGACCTCAGATGTTTCCTCCCCTAAATAGACACTAATCTGGAATGTCTCTTTAACTCCGCCTAGAGCAGGGGTCGGCAACCTTAAACACTCAAAGAGCCACAAAGATCCTAACTGGAAGCCCCCCCCCCATTCAATTCTGGAGCCAGCAGGAAGTCTGGTTCCCCCACCATAGAGTCTCCTCCTAGCATGGCATACTTTTTCCTCTACCTGTCCTAACCGAAAAACCTATCAATTGTGGAGCCGACTGGAAAACCTGCCCCTTGCCATAGAGTCTCTTCCTGGAGCGTGATGCTTGCCCTTCCCCAACTGGAAGTTCATCTCAAAATTGTGGCGCCGGCAGGCAACAGGGAGCTGTAACAGAGAGATGAAAGAGCCACATGTGGCTTCAGAGCCACAGGTTGCTGACCTCTGTCCTAGAGAAACACCCCTTCAGTGTGTGGTTCCATTATAGTATCACCCCTTTAAGTTTCCTGTTGCTTGGAGTTTTTATGTAGTTTCCTCTGATACCTCCATTTGAATCTCCTCCAATTTTTCTTTGAACTTTTCTAGAAATTCCCTTCCTTCTGGACAGAACTGAATAAAAACCTCTGCTTTTTAAAAGTAAGAACTCATAGCTTCCAGTTTGACCCATTGAAATGGGATCTTTTTCTGTTTCAATTAAAAAGGTACTATTTTCTCTTATGTAAAATTCCAATAGAAAGTTTTTAAAATTATATCCCTATTATCAGTGGTGGGTTTCAGTGCGCACGGGGCTGGGAGTCCTAGACGGGCACGTGTGCTGTGCACACGCCACTGCCCTGCAGCACCTAGCTGCTCAGAGGACGTTGCGCAGGTGCCGCATGCTGTGTGCGCATGCGCAATGGGGCGGTCACGTTATAAACAGCCATAGAACGTGGGCGGGTGGGCCAAATGAGGCCACTGCTCCTGGCTATTACTGGTACGGCTGTACTGAACCATATCACCTGGAACCCACCACTGCCTATTATTAATCTTCAGGCTTAGATTAAAATACTTATGCAAAACATGGTCCCTTGCCTTTTTTCCTGACAAAGTGCCCCAAAATAACATCCCAGGCCTTCAGAACGCTTCTGAACAGCAGCAGAGATGCTGAGGGGACAGGGAACCTGATCCCAGAGGGCAGGCACTGCTACAGTGAAGATGTGCCTCTGGAGTCATAATAGAGAGCATTGTTTAACTGATGCAACCTTGAATTTAGCAGCACTGCCAGACCAAACAGGGAGGGCAGTCACTAAGGGAGGCAGGCGGGTGGCCAGTCAAGTAACCAGGCCCTAAGTCATGTAGCGCGTTTTAGTTAATGACCAACACCTCAAATCAAGCCCAGAAGCGAAGAGGCAACCAGTGCAGCTTGCAAAGCAAAGCTGTTATATGAGCATAGCCAAAGTGAATTATGTATGTCATTTCCAGGCAATAGTAATAATAAGTCCTTTCAGGATCTAAAAGAAGGTTAGCTGCTAAGATGAGGCTTTCGAGCAACAGTTATTTCCTGGGACCATCCATGTTACTTTTAAAAAAAAACATTTTAAGTCAACTTTGATAAAAACAAGAGAGGATTACAGGAAAGACTGTTAATAGCCACTAAAAGCAACTTCAGCCGGAGCTTTAGTTCAACTAGGAGAGGCAATTTTATTCTGCTTTATGTTTATTACTTCTAATTCTTATTTCTTTCCCTGCCTCCTTTCTTTCGCACCTTGTTTTATCAGCTAGTGATAAAATAAAACCTAGCGCTGAGAAAGATTTTTCTCTTTCCACTCCAGTGCATAGTACTAGTTTAGACTTTCCCAATCATTCTACTATGATTTCCTAATTCGTGAGTAGATTTAGAATTTCTTGGCAGACTAGGCAGTTGTATCGGGGTTGTAGGCACTCCAGAAGGCAACTAATACCATAGGCAGCTGGGCATGTACGATTCCACATAATAATTCTTTGATCCCAACTACAGTCACAGATCTCATCATTAACATCTTTATTATTTAATTTTATGATCATCACCTCTATTAAGTCTGCACTGTGAATAAGAAATATCTATCACTATTTCTGCACCATGAATCTTGCAGTATGAATTTTCAACTACAGGTATGTATCTGTTCTTAAAAGTGGTAGATACTTGAAAATTGATACTGCTATGATTTTACAGCTAGTCCTCAACCACAATTGAGCCCAACATTTCTGTTGTTAAGGGAGACATTTGTTAAGTGAGTTTTGCCCCATTGTACGACCTTTCTTGCCACAGATGTTAAGCGAATCACTGCAATTGATAAGTTAGTAGCATGGTTATTAAGTGAATAGTAGCATGGTTATTAAGTGAATGTGGCTTCCCCATTGATTTTGCTTGTCAAAAGGTTGAAAAGGATTATCACATGATCTTTGGGACATGACAACAGTCATAAATATGAACCAGTTGCCAAGCATCTGAATTTTGATCACGTGATCATGGGGATGCTACAAAGGTTGTAAGTGTGAAAAATGGTCATAAGTTGCTTTTTCATTTCTGTTGTAACTTTGAACAGTCACTAAATGAACTGTTGTAAGTCGGGGTCTATGGATATTATGAAAACATCTAACAGAAGAAAATAGAATCAGATCAGTAGTTTCTATGCACATCTAAAGCTATGTTCTAACATCCAAAGCTACTCTCAGCCTCTGCTTTGCTGTTGCTTCGACTGCCATGAAACNCACAGATCTTCTTTTTATGGGTTTTGGTAATTTATGGGCTTTGTATCCTGGATCACCCCTGCCTAGGATTTCCTGTGAATCCCTCCCTTCGGGTGGGGGTGGAGGGAACATTTGGAAGCTGCTAGGAAAATTCTTTGGGGCTCAAATTAAGACGTGGCTGATGTGGATGTGATTGTCTCTTGAGTTCCACCACTTAGCCGCTATACCGCTTTACAGTGCTTTATAGCCCTCTCTAAGCAGTTGACAGTCAGCCTCTTGCCCCCCCCCCCCCCCCCACAACTTTGGGTCTTCATTTGACCCACCTCAGAAGGACGGAAGATTGAGTCCACCTTGAGCCTGGTGAGAATCGAATTGCCAAATTTGCAGGCAGCCGGCAGTCAGCAGAAGGCGCCTGCAAATACTGCACTCTGCGCCACCACGGCTCACTTACAGCGAAAGTGGGTCAAAGCAGGCAAACAGGATGGCGGGCAAATGGGACACCCTTATTATATTTCTGTTCTGAATTGGCTTTGGAAGAGTTTGAGGCCCAGGTAGAACATTTTAAGGCCCGGAAATGACTGTTGAGGCGATCCAGACATACATGCTCCTTCATGGCCCGATGGGACAAGCCCTTCTCTTCCTTTAAGAGGGGTTCGGGAGGGGGGGAAATATCCCGGCTTTTCCAGCTGCTTCGATTGGCACCGATCCTGACGCCACGGATCGTTCTGTCCCAGGGCAAAGCAGAGCAGTTCCTTGGGGAATAAGCCAAATCGTCCAATGTGGTTTCCCCTCCTTGAAGCCAGAAACCCCTTGAGGGTAGTTTGAGGCTGGAAATCTCAAAACAGCCCCCAAAAAGTCTCGATCCGGAGAATCCGAGGAGCTGGAGGCTTTAGAACAAAACTCGGAGCAGGAGGATGGAGAAGACGGTTGAAATGAGAGGGACGGATCCGGAGTGGCTGCCTGGCGTGCCCGACTGGCAGTGTGCCTGGTTCTCGCCAATGCAAGCTGCATAGGCCATCACGTGGGGGATGTAGTTCTGCTCGTGGACCCCGTGGAGGAGGTGAGCCATGGGGCCCTTGGCGAAGACGGCTACGTCCTCCCCTCCGTGCGTTTCCATGCGCAGCGGGACGGCTGACTGTGCCTGGTAGTTGGCATCGGCTGTGGAGGGAGAGAGAGAAGGTGGGTGATTCCCCAGAGGGAGGGGAAGGAAGATGAAGGAGGGCAGGATACAGAGCCAGTGCCCATTGGCATTGGGACAGAGGTGGGTTCCTACCAGTTCGCACCTATTCGGTAGAACCGGTTCGTCAAATCTACCGAACCGGTTAGAAGAGGTTCCCCCAGTGGACCCGGA